TTCGAAGATATGCCGACGAACCTTTCCGTCACCGAAAAAGCCGACGAGAGAACTGCAGATAGATCTGGTGCTTGGGGGATCGGCCTCCAGGGTTGAATACAGAGTATACAATCATTACGATTGTATAAAAAAGACATGATTTTTTAGCTGTAGACTGTAAAAAGAATTCTTTTTTTTTTTGTAAAGGGACCTTCCGGTTTCCGGATCTACAGGAAAACCGACTAATTCGAAATCGAGCGGGGTAGAACCACAAGGGCGGCAAAGCTCTCCCTCAAGAATTTTAACACTGTTGCATTCTCATGGCTCGAACACGAGACCACTGATTAAACTGGAAGAGACCCAAGCTATCTCATCCAAGCACTCTTGGGTAACTATTATTTAATTCGAAATAGGGTATTTCATTGTAAATTTGAAAGCAGCTGAATTTGACATATTAAACGACTCACCAAATCAAACTTTTAATACTCAACTTGTTTACTAAACAAATCAGTAATCGCGCTCGAAATTAGCTCGATTAAGTTATTAATAATATAAATGAGTCGACCTTGAGCAGTCGACCTCGAGCTTAAACGAGTAGAACTACTGAAAAATATATAAAAATATATATTGTCGAGCCTAAACGGACCGAGTTAAACTCGACTCGTTGACTAAGCATAAGCTCTGACATGCTTGACAAACAACATCATTCAAGGGTAGAAGCCGATTTATTGGGGACACATCATTCATGACATAATATTGCACAAGCCATGTTCACATTATTCATACTACATAAAACACCTTGCTTCTCAGTTTTACCCATATTTATGAGAGGAGATTTGTTCTGTTTTTTCCTCATCATAAAACTGATAAAAAAGGAAAATTAAGGGGTAGATATCCATAAAACTAGGTGAGTCGATAAACAGAATAAGATAAGCAGGTGGTTAATAATTAAACAACCCAAAAAAAAAAAAAAAAAAATGAAGAAAGAAACTGCATGAATCTTGAGAACTTGAATTTGAACAAGTTATGTTTTCTTTTTCTCAACATGCATGATCAATGAGAAGCATCTTCTTCTTCACAAAACTTGGTGTACTCTTTAGCTCCCATTAAGGAATCAAGCTCTGAAGGATTACTTGGCTTCACCTTGATCATCCATCCATCTTCATATGGGCTTGAATTGATCTTCATCAATCCATCGCAGAAAAAAAAAAACGATGAATGATGAAATGCCGAATCTAATAATACTAGACGACATAAAACTTGGGAAGTTTAACATTGAAATCCAATTATCATGTAGTTGGAGAAGGGAAAGTGCAAGTAAAAATTGGAGACACGAAATTGAGAAATAGTCTGGTAATTGAAAATAACAATTAACTTTTGGTCATTCCACTGGCTGCTTAGTTGGATATGTTACTCAGCTGTCAAACGGACGACAAAAAAAAAAAGAAATTAAAAATAATATCCACTTTAGCAACCGGTCACAAGGACCGGCTTTTGTCGGTGGAATGACCAAAAGTCAAATTTTTTTGAATTTCATATGGTGTCTTGTAAAGTCAATGTGATCACCAGACTATTTCTCAGTTAGGTGTCAATTACAGAACTAATCACCAATTTTTCCGAAAGTGCAACAAGCCAATATTATGATCTACAAGACAAAAAAATGGTAGTGATCATAAAAAGTAAACTTGTTTTCACGATTCACTAGTAACTTATATTTTTTCGAACAACTTTTAGTTTTTACACGATTGATTACGAGCAAGTGATCGTGATTACCAATCCGGGTGTATCAGTAAGCTTGGTGTTGACCTCCACGACCTCCCCGGATATGGGTGAGTTGACATCGCTCGTGGCCTTAACACTCTCGACTGCCCCAAAACTGCCGCCCTGCACCACGGTTTTCCCCTTCTCCGGAAGCTCGACGAACACGACTTCTCCAAGGTGGTCCTGAACACTCGATAGACGATATCAATCTATGAGTTTAAATTGGTGTTAAGCTTATGGAGCATATATATTAGTCCATCTTAGTGATTCCCATCCCAAGCTAGAGTTTTGCATATTTTTTTCTTCTTCTAGTGTGTGTAGTTAGCCTATGTTACAACTTACAAGTAACAACATGGGATTTAGTTCACTTTCTTTTAATTTATCTCAAACATTTTAGCACAAGTTTTACTTGTTTAATTAGCTACCAAATCAAAATTTCTCAAGAACAAAGCATCTTAATTGAATTATACAACATAAGTACTAAAGAACCACCATTCAAAATGTATAGAGAGAGAGAGAGAGAGAGAGAGAGAGAGAGAGAGAGAGAACCTGAGCATGGTCTGTGATTCCAATGGTGGCCACAGGTCCATCATGCTTCACCCATTCATGTGAAGAAGCATATTTGAAACCATCCAAAACTGCAAAAAGATAGGAAAAAAAATGGAATCTTGAGGATTTTCATCAAGAAAAAGCAAAGTGAACAAAATTAACAAGAACAAAAGTAAAGATAATAGATTTCTAAAAACCAGTTGAAAAGCATCTTGAGAGGGAAAAGGCAGGGGAAACAAGAGATGATCTTGAAGCACAAGTTGAGAGCTTCAAAGCATTAGCTGTAGAAGAAGCCCACATTATAAGAGCCATTTGTGGAAATTATTCTTGTTTTTTTCTCTTTTGGGTCTGATATTTTTCTTGTTTGTGATGAAAATTATCTTCTTCTTTTTTTCTTCTTTAATGTAAAGGAAAGAATGAAGATGGAATTGGAAAGGATTACCATATAAAAAAAAGTTCACTTTTATTATCTTTGAT